TTTGGACCTCTTTCTGTAGGTTTTGAATTGTTTCCAATGCTGTATCTATCTTACTTGATTGTTCCTGTAGCCCTTTCCTGACTTCTTCCTTATTTTTCTCAACTGCATTGTATAGTGTTTTGATACCTTTTATAATCACTTTTAGGACTTCCTTCTCAGGCATTCCCAAAGCCTGCCAATCTTCCAGTATGGAGTGTAGGTCTACTTCCAGCTCATTTGCCTCAGTCACTTTATCTCGTTTCTGGACATGTGCAGATATCGTCATCTGCTTCTGTCTTTTGGGCATCTTCAGGGGTTATCTGTGGCCTTAATACTTAGATGGGTATGTATTTTGGTGTTTTTTTTTTATGCTTTCGGAATGCCTCCAGGTAGATGTGATCAGGAAATGAGTTTCCCTTTTCACTCTTCTTCCTGAGAAGTTTCAAGATACCACTGTTGACTGTTGGTTGTTTTGACATAACTTAGGATTTAATTTTCGGCCTATTTCCTCTTTTGTCTGCTTGCCCCGCTCCACAATCCCCATTCAGTCCTTTTTTCTAGTTGAAACAGTTCAGGGCTGGCTGTGGTCATTTGGTTTTAATTGGAAACTGTCTCTTTAAATTGCGAGGAGATCTGTGCGCATGTGTAGTAGAACCCTCTGAGGGTGGAGCTGGGGTGCCCACTAGCTCAGGCACCCCTATAGTCACCAGAATGGAGGTGTGCAGACAGCAAGGGACCAATGAAGATACCAAAAGAAAAGAATGTCCACACCTTTATCTCTGCGGTTCTGCCAGGCGTTTGTGGCCGCTCCGATCCTTCCCCTGCATGGTCTCACCTAAGATGGCGGCTCCTGGAGCAGCCAAGCGGCCCGGACTAGAAAGCAATAGATTTCTTGCTTCTGCCACAAATTCCCCCAATTGTGAGCCTTCCAACCTTCTAAGTATTCCTTTATATGTGGTTCAGAGTTCTGGGACCATCCCCTGAGCCTGCTTGGTCGGGTATTCTGTGTTGTTGTTGGCGGAGCTCTCTGCTGTACGTCCACCCGATCCGCCATCTTGTTTGTTCTCTACTCTGAACTCTTGAACCCAGCAGAGAAGTAGCAAATGACGTGAGAGGGACGGTTGGGGTCAGAATGCAGAATTGGTGAGAAGGTTGGAAGGTGAAGAAGGTGTGTCTGACCTTACTGGTCTTGGACTGATGTTGGGTCTGATTCTTCTTCCCCTTTGTGAAGTTAGAGGAAGTCAGATACCACCCATGGGCCACTTTTACAGTGACACTGTGCCTACCCCTCCCAATCCTGAGGAAGGTTCCACAACCCCACACCTGGCTTCACAGGGATGCAGTAGCCACAGTCATCCCTCACAGGCTCCACAGCGTCTGTGTCAAACCTCAGAAGCTCAAAAGGGATCAGCAACTGGGCAGAGAGCGGGAAGAAGTCAGCACAGTCCCTGTGAACTCAACCCCAGTTAGCAAGACGAAGCCTTTCAGTGAATGGTCTAGCTGTCACCACCTGGACCTCCCAATTCCTTTTAGCATCTCTAAGGTAGGACAATGGCATGAGCTGCCTCCAACATGACTTAGGGATCATATAGAACCCACCGGAAAGTTATTGCTAAGAATAGACTGGAATTTAACATTGTCTCTAAAGGAATTTGCATTCTATCAGAAAATGCAAGGGCAGAAAGAGATGAGAATTAACAAGGAAATACAATGGGGAGACTCTGTTTAGCTGCCAAAAGACCAGTAGACAATCGGGAAATGTTTAACCTGGATTTGGCAACAGATGACATTAAAGGGTAGCTATTAGTTTCTTTTGACAGGTATGATAATCACTTTGTGGTTACATTTTTTAAAAAGTCATTAAATACCTACAGTATTTATAAGCAAAAAGATACAATGTCTAGGATTTGCCCTAAAATATTTAAATTTTAAAAAAGGGAATTGAGGTAAGAATGAATTCCTTAATATGGCTGTTCTATCCATAGTGTCTGTAGCTTCCACCAAATGATTGGTTGTTGTTGTTAAGTGCCGTTGAGTCAGGTCTGACTCACAGCGACCCTGGGTAGGATTTCCAAGGAGTGGTGGTGAGCTTGAACTGCCGACCTTGTGGTTCAAACTGACCTTGCCGTCCAGCACATGAACCCTCAGCGCCGCCCCAGGTGGGAAAATACAAATAGGTGTATGAAAGTCTTAACATGGCAATCAGTCAGTTGTGTCACTGTGCTGGGTTTAAAATGAGTAACCTCAGAAGTGGGCAAGGAGAATCTCACTGACTCCAAGGAAGCATGCTCTCTGTTCCCTGAGATTCCTGCACACTGAACCTCCCCAGTCCAGGAGACAGAGTCCCAGAGGAGTGGCGGCTACAGCATTATTACAAGAAATACAAGACCGAGAACAGGCTTCCTGACTCATGGAGCAAGTACAGCCAAGCGCCTTTGGACAGGAGTCGTGAAGGAGTGGCAAGAAAGAGCTTTCGAACACTTGCCTGAGTCAGGCAGAAACAGGGGACCTCGTGACTGAGGGGCTGAGGACCAGAGAGCAGCACACCTGTGTGCACAGCTGAGGAGAGAGTTGCTACTGACCAGAACAACTGTATCTGACCATTTCTGATGCCAAACTAATCCGCTCACTTTCCTGGTGAGGATTGTCTCTTGAGTTCCGTGGAGCCATTGCAATGGATTATAGAACCTAGCAGAGAAGTGGAGTGTGATGGGAAAGCGGGCGGTTGTCAGAATTGGTAAAGGAGACAAGAAGGTGGAGGCATGTCTGACCTCTACCTCATAGAAATGGGCCTTGGGCTGATGCTGATGGTGATTCTCCTCCTCCCACCGTGTGAAGTCACAGGGGATCAGATGCTGCCGCTATGCCATTTTTGCAGGAGCACATACGGTATAAAATTGTTCACATGGAGGCCTGGGACTGAACTTCCTCCCTTGGTTCAGCTTTGAGTCAAACAACTGCCAGGCGTACAAAGTGAACACTATCAGGGAGGTACCCACTCCTCAGAGTAAGGAAATCAAAGGGCAGCATTTACCTGGAATTAAGCTCAGAAATCAGGAAAGACGAATGGCAACAGTAAACACAGGGAAGAAATGGGAAGCATGTTGTTACATTGTGGAGATTGCAATCAATGTCACAAATTAAAATGTGTATGAATTGTTGAATGGAAAACCAATTTGCTCTGTAAATATTCACCAAATCTCACACACACACAAATTGACCAGGTGTTAACAGCTTCTGAAGCTGAGTAAAAAGATATGAGACATCCTCAAGTTACTTACTCAACTTCTCTGCATGTTTGAAATATTCCATGATTAAATGTTTATGAAACAATAACACAGAACTAAAAAGACAACCAAAAAACAAGACCCAGTTATCATCAATTAGATTCTGACTCTTCAGTCATTGAAAACCAGGTCTTCCTTGTTAACCAATTTATAACACCCAAGGATTTTTTTTTTGTTTTTTTTAAAGACAAGTGGGAAGGGATATACATCAGAAATATTACAGTTTCGGTTCTTTTGAAAACAAAACCAAACTAACAAAAGCAGACTGTGGAGATGTTCCAGTCTGAATTCCAAGTGAGATGTCTACGGAGAGCCCAAAGGAACATTTGGCAGGCATCCCCTCACCATCTCTTCCTGGTCTTGGGGTCATGTCATCAACATTCTTATTGCCTGTTGAGTGCCTTCAGAGGTGTCAGGAATCACAGCCCTGAACTGATGTAAGGGCATGGCCTGGGTCACCTTTTATCAGGAAACAGAGGATGGAATCGCTACCACTAAGAAAGAGGGACCTAGAGTAGAAAACGTCCTTAGGATTCAAGGTCTCTCATCTGGAAACCTCCTAGATCCAGGGGGAGATGAATACCAAAACATATGGAGCTCTCCATGTGATCAACAAGGAACTCGGGGCCCACAGATGTTGAAAAGCCACGAGGACCTTTCCCCAGAGCACAACTGGCACCCTGAACTCAGATTTCAAGTCTTGTAAACTGTGTGATAACACAATCTGTTTGTTAAAGCCGTCCACATGTGGTGTTCTGTTACAGCAGCACCAGACTACTAAACCAAAAAGTTTCCCTGGATGCCTGTAACTCTTCAACTCCTGTCACCTCGTAGCCAAGGCCCAGCCATTAGGGTCTCTGGGTGTCTAAGCCTCTCCCCAACAGGCGCTGGGACTCCTTTCTTTGAGGTCCTTCTCACAGATGAGAGAGAACCCAGGTGTCGAGTAGTCTATGAGGTATGGCCAACCCACTCTGGGATTCTATGAATTGGAGGAGTCCCTCAGGGAAGGGCTTACCAAACTCTAGGCCACCATCACGTAGTACAGAGGCAAGGCTGTGTAGATCACGTGACCCCACACAGGGACAGCAAACTCAACATTTTCAGCAGTTGATCGTGGGTGACAATGACTGGCTTTGGGAGCCCTGGAAGACAAAGGAGTAGGCAGGGTACGGTGGTGACAAGAGCTCAGAAGTTGGTCAAAGTCATGGCAGGACCGACACCGCCAAGCCTACATTGCAGTTCAAGGCTTTCACTGTGTGCTCAAGTATGAGTATTCTGGTTAGGTTTGGGGGTACAAATTGAATTTGTAAGTCAGGGGCTAAAATCCAGCTATAGATAATCAGTCATGAACAGAGGCGGTAGCATTTGCCCAGGGATAAAACTCAGAAGGCAGGAAGTTACAGGGACAAATGGGAACGGCAAACACAGAGTGGAGGTTGGAAGAACACTAGGCCATAGTGGGGATTGTAATCAATATCACGAAACAAAATGGTATAAATCCTTCAATGAAAAATGAATTTGCTCTGTCAACTTCCAGCCACATAGTGAGAACAAGCTTTAGAAAGAACAGAAGTAGGACTTCAGTGTTGAACATTGGAATCACATGGGGTCAGTTTAAACCAGGTGTCAGGGTTACAGGTGAAGGTGAACGTCAGAGGTTAAGTGTGAGGCACAAGTCAGGGTGAGAATTCAGAGGTCCAGGGACCAGGGTTTCTGGGCACCGTTACCGGTGGTTCCTGAGGTCTAGATGAACAGGGAGGGCTTTTGTGTGTAATCCCTGCACGCAGGTGAGCAGGCACTGGGGGGTCAGAGGGCGCAGCATCCAGGGTGGTCCCTAAAGCCTCCACACCCAGCCTTGGGGAGGAGTTGCTGAGGAAGAAGCAGCGGATGATCTTGGCCTGCACTTAGGAAGGATCTCCTCCAAGTTCTCCTGGCGGTCTGCAGGGACCAGTGAAACAGGAACCTGAAGCAAGACCCACCTCTGAAGAGCGAGGACCCGAGACCCAGAGATGGGGCAGAGGAGCCTGGTGTCACAGTGATCACAGTTCAGGGCTGACAGTTTTTGGTGGAGAATCCTATAATTAGGTTTCTGGCTTCTATGCTGTTTTTGACCAAAAGGATAGAAATGGTGTTGGTAGTTGTGTGCCGTGGCATCGATTCCGGCTCACGGCGATCCTGTATTGGGTTTCCAAGACTGCAAATTTCTATGGGAGCAGAAAGCTTCATCTTATTCCCACGGAGTGGCTGGTAGTTTCCAACCGCCTAACTTGGAGGTAAGCAATCCAATTGTAATCCACTAATCTACCAGGGCTCCCTAAAAGGATGGAAACAACCATTGTGAAAAGAAAACCCAATGCCCTCAGATTAATTTTCCAGATGGGCTTAATTTTAACTCTAAATAGTCTGTCAGTGAGGAGGGGGCAAGCAAAGGGGTCCCAGATCAGCCTGCTGCTTTCTGAAAGCCGTCCTCCATGTCTGCTTCCTGCCCACTGCCACTGCCCCTAGAGGTCCCTTACCTGGATGGACCACCAGAGGTCTTCCCCGGCTGTGTGGGTTGATCCAGGCTGCAGGGCAACCCAGCTTGGCCAGCCCTAGCCACAGTCCCAGGGCACGAATGACCTTGGAGGCCAATACCAGGAGAGCAGCTGGCTCCCCAACAGGCAGGCCTACAGGGCCGCCCAGCTCCGCATTCAGGGTCCATGCAGCCCGGCAGGCCTGGGCGTCTAGCTCCCTGTAGGAGACTGAGTGCCCGGCGAGCCCTGTGCACACCACGGCTACACGGCGTGACTGATCTCGCGCCTGCTGCTCCAAGGTATCCACGAAGGTGTGGGGCGGCAGTCGCCTCTGCCGAGATTGTCCCAGGCGGATGATCCGGACCACGTAGGCCACATCGGCTGGCAGCCAGTGCAACCCTGGGGGCGACCGGGGTGGCAGCAAGATTACTGTGAGAGCTGCTGCGCCTATACTGAGCCAGTGGGGCGCCCGAGGGCGGAGCCAGGGCCATGCCAGAATGGACAGGCCCAGCAGCCAACGTAGAGCTAGGGCCGCCGCCGCCGCTGGCCCTGCAGACTGGCCCAGGGTCCAGAGCAGCAACAGGAACAAAAGGACCAGCCGCAGCCGGCCGCCCATGGCGCCGGCTCCCTCTTCCAAGTGGCTGCGGTGTGTACGGCCTCAGCTCCACCGGGGCCAGACTGTCCCTGACCGCTGCCCTCCACCAGGGAAGCCTGCCAAGTCCACCTTCCGGGCAGTTTCCCAGGGACTGTTGACCAGGGCTGCTCCCCACTCTGTTGTGACTGCCGGTTTGTTTAACTCTGCAGAGTACAAGGCTGTTGTTGTTAAGTGTGGCCAAGTTGGTTCCAACTCATAGCGAGTCTGTGTAAGGTTTCCAAGGAATGGCTGGTGAGTTTGAACCTCTGACCGTTAGGTTAGCAGTCCAGCGCTTATCCTACGGTGCCAAGATTGTTGTGAGGTGTGGAGGAGTCGACTCTGATGCATAGAGACCCTTTATAGGCTTTGATTCAGACCAACCCTCTGGCCCAGCACATTATCCCACAGCGCCACACAAGGACTTCAGATGCAAGGACGTCTCGGGTTATTCTGTTTCACTCTATTAGGTTGCACAGATTGTGAAGGTTTGTGGCAACTTGCATCAACCAAGTGCATCGGTGCCATTTTTGTTGTTGTTGTTGTTACAGAATTTTTTTTTAATTTAAGGTTTTTATTGTGGATTGCGTGAACGTTTACAGGGCACATCATCAGTTTCACATTCAACAATTCATATGACTTGTTTCATTACATTGATTACAATCCCCTCCATACATCATCAGTCAACAGTGTTTCTCTATCCTCTTTGGCTTTTCTCCTTTTTTGGGGGGGGAAAAACTTTGCCTTTTTGTAATTTACAGTCTCGGCTTTTAGGGAAGGTTTTTACCTTTATCTGTGGATATCCAGGGCTCATGTATGCGATTACTAAGTATAACTGAATAATCAGATGAGGGACAGTTTGCTATGTCTGCTAGGTGGCTCGATGCCATTTTGCCAACATGTGCTCACTTTGAGCCTGTCACGTTTTGGTCATTCTTGCAATATTTCTAATCTTTCCATAACGCTATTGATGTGGTGCTGTAGGATTGCACTGAACTGCTAACCACAAAGTTGGTGGTTCAAACCCACTAGCTCCTCCTCAGAGACCCTATACAGGGTCACTATGAGTTTGAACTGACTTGAAGGCCCCTAACTATAGTATAACACTAACTTTTCTATATGTTGAGAAAACCAAATTTCATTTGACTACCTTTCTTGTAAGGAGCTCTGGTAGCATAGTGGTCATGAGTCAGGCTGCTCATCTCATGGTCAGCAGTTCAAAACTACCAGCTGTTTCACGGGAGAAAGATGAGGCTATCTGCTCCCGTAAAGATTTACAGCCTCGGAAACCCTGTTCAGGGTCGCTGAGTCGGAACCGACTCCATAGCACGTAACAGCAGCTTTCTTGCACTATTTCAGGAATCCAACCTGAATTACCTCCAAGGTATGCCTGGCTCCAATTCCTCAGTATTTACCCCTGCCTCGTGGGTCCCTCTCCTGTCTGACCCTGCTTTGTCTCTGCTATCATCTCTAGGGTCCCTTGTCACTAGCCTGTCCTCTCTCTGCCACTGTGGCTAACCTCTATGAACCCAGTCTTCCGCCCCTTTCATTTCACCACCAGCCTCCTCTGCCATCCTTGTCTTCCTTCCCATGCAGCCCTGACACCTCTAGAGGTTCATGCTCCAGGGCTGGTACCTCCCCGTTTCCTCTTCACACATGCACTGTACACCAGGTACTGGAGAGATGGACAGAAATCCTGTCCTCAGGGGCAGACAATCCAGTTGGCGAAACTGCAGATAAACAGGACTGCCAAACTGGGTTCCACCAGGTAGCTGAGGGCAGCCTTGGAGGGACGTTCTCCTGTGGTACACACTTAACCCGGAATGGGGCTCAGGCCAGGTTACACCCCAGTCTGCAGGACCCTGAGCTGCTGAGGGAGGATTCGGTCAGAGCCTTAATGTCATGAACCCAGGGGCTTAACCCCCTGCGAGGTACACAACAGATGCTCAGTAAATGCACTCACACCCATTTCGGTAGGCCAGGTGCTGGGACACCTGTGTGTAACTGGACCAGGGCATCCTTGGCCCTAGCCTCTGGGAGTGGGGTGGACAGGAGGCACTACAATTGGCTCCAGGCTGCACTCCTCCTTCCTTCCCTCCCCAGCTCCAGATCCTTAGGCCTAGCCCCCAAGCCAGGCGACTCCCACTGCACTGGAGGGAGAATAGGGTCCCTGGGCAGGCAGCCAGGCAGATGAGGCTCTGGAGTCTGTCTTCTGCTGCCCATTGGGTCCCAAGGATCCTGGTCATTGTTCACTCCTCACGTGGCCACTGTGCCCAGCCCCCTGCACTACAACTCCAGAACTAAGTTCCCAGTGGCCGAGACTCCCTTACAGTCCCCTCAGTCAATATACCTGTCAGAATCGAGTTGTGTGTGGGGTAGAGTGGGATCCGAGTCTGGCTAGTGGGAGGTAGGATGTGGATATCTGCATTGTAGACAGCAGCCAGGAGTTTCCCTAGAAGCTCTCCCTCTCTGAAACCCCGCTCAGTTGCGGCAGAACCTATCCCTGCCCCACAAGAGGTAGAATTGAGCACCATCCCTATGGGCACCCCCACCCCACCCCTACCAGATGCCCAGGATGGTATTGGGGTGGGGGGGCAGAACGCAACACCTACAATCACAGTCCTACTCAATAGCTTCACAACTCAGGCTCCATGGCCCAGGTCCTTTATTACACCTCAAAGCCCAGCCCCCGGTTCTCGATGGCGCCACCTGATCCCCCTAAGGGCCTGATGAAGGAGGGATTCCCCAGGGAAGTGGGGGTCTGGGGAACAGCTGCAGACTTCCCCCGGGCCCACCCACGCAAGGAGGGGGGGGCAGGGTGATGGAAAACAGTCAGGGTGCCACTGTTCACACTGGAGGTGGTGGGGTTCTTGGGAGGACCCGAGTTATGTGGTTAGGCAATGGGGAAGGTCTAGAAAAGGGATGGATTTAGGGAAGAGGGTCTGCACTCCGGACGAGTGTGGTCTGGTGGTGGAAGCGTGTTTAAGACGCTATGGGCTTGGCTTGCCCTGGATACAAGGCACCACTCACTCCACAGGGACGTGGCTTGGCCCCATCAGGGAGTGGTGTGTGTCGCCAGGTGGCGCTCGAGCAGCGCGCGGTGAGAGAAGACCTTGCCGCAGGCTGGGCAGGGCGCACGCTCGGGTCGGTGCGTGCGCATGTGCACGTTGAGCGAGCTCTTCTGCGTGAACCGCTTGGCACAGACGGCGCACTGGAACGCTCGCACGCCCGTGTGCGTGACCATGTGCTTCAGCAGGTAGTCGCGCAGCGAGAAGGATCGCCAGCACACGGCACACTGATGTGGCTTCTCTCCTGTGTGCGAAAGGACCAGCAGTGAGCATGTCAGCTGGGCACAAGTCCAGCGATGGCCCTCACTTCCGTACAACTGTCATTCCAGAATCCCCCCCAGGGACTCCTACCCCACAACTTCACCCCTGGCCCAAATCAATACCAGAGTCGTCCTCCTCTTTCGCATTCCAGCCCGCAGCACGCTCCGTTTGGGGTGACACTTGGCGGTGCCCACATGTCCACAGAGCAGCCTTCTCAATTCTGACCACTACTCATGTTGAAGACACTCTGGACGGGCCCTTCACCACTATGTGACTAGGTCATCAGACCCACCTGCCTCTTTCCTACAGAAGTCCATGCTGCCCAGGGATCCTGCCCACAGCTTAATGTGACGTCATTTCTCCTGGCCACACAGTGGGCTCTACTCCTCACCCTACATCCAAGGTTAAGGCTGTTAGTAGCAGACAGCTGCAAGGCATTGCCTGCCAGGAGATCCCCATATGCCAACCAGATCCCAGCACTTGGCTCTGGCTATGTACTTCAGGCAAAGCCCACATTGCCTCGGGGTCCCTGGGATGGTCCTCCACATGTTGCTCCCCCACTTACCCCTTTCTTCTCATGCGATCCTCTCCTTTCTCCTCTCCACCCTCCCCAAAGCAGCTAACCAAAACCACACCAAACCCACTGCCTTCAAGTTGATGCCTACTCTGAGATACTCTATGGTGGTGGTCAAAGTGCTCCACAGGGTTTCCAAAGCTGTAAATCTCTACAGAAGCAGACTGCCTCATCTTTCTCCCACTGAGCAGTTGATGGGCTTGAACTGTCAGCCTTTTCATAACAACCCAATGCTTGATCCACAGTGCCACCAAGGTAGCTAATGTAAGATTTTTAAACCATAAATTACACCTCATCACTCTCCAGCTCAAAATAGTCTGTTCTCATTCACAGTGAAACCCCAACTTCCTGCCCCTTCAGATCTTCACACACACTCTCTGCACCCTACCACAGTGTGGCCTAAATCTCTGCTTTCCTTGGTTACACCAACCTCAGCCCTGACCAAACACCCCTGTTCACTGCCACTTGGCCCTGGCTCACCCTTGTGCACTTGTCTACTCCCCGAACCTCTGCACAATGGGCTCTGCCTCACTCTGGCGCTGGTCCAAGAGGACCTCGTTGTAGCCTTGCTGGAACTCCATTTCCACCCTCCTCGGCTGTCTACTGTTGACAGGCTGCAATTCCCTCCTGGCTGAGCGAGGGTTTCTCAGGCCCTAACCTGGTCGCCCTTAGACCAGAGCACTCGACGCCCCAGCCTAGGCAGGGCCAAGCCTTCCCTCACCCCACCGACCACCTTTCCAAACTCCCTGAGCAGGTTCCTGCCTCCTGATCAAGCCTCAGCATCCCCACTTATAATTCGAGGTTGCAGGACAGACAGGGAAGTGGCTTGCTCCCCACAACTCAGTCTATCCACAAGCAACACACGCAGCTCAACACCCAGGGCCCCTGGGGTCACTGTAAAGCAACAGGCCTGGATGGATCTTCAGTTTATAGAGTGCCGTGGAATCCTGGAGCTATGTGGCCTCTCATATCTACCCATCTGTATTCAGGCACTTGGCATTCCATGACTAAGGAGGCAAACCAGGCGTATGCCAGCACCCCATGTCCCCAGAAGGCCCAGCCCCTAAGGAACTCAATCGCCAATGACAAGAGACTAAGGGGCTCCGAGACCCTGGCTGAGGGTCCCTCCCCAGCTCACCCGAGTGGATGAACATGTGCTTGGTGTAATTTTTCCGGGAGCTGAACGTTTTGCGGCAGTGGGTGCACTCATAGGCGGTGGTCTCCGAGCCCGAGGCGCGCGCCGCTGACCCTGAGGCAGCTGGAATGGGAGCGGTAGGCGGGGCTGAGGCCTCCCCCAACTGAGAGCCGGCTCCTGGAGCCCCATCCGGCTGGAGTGGGTAGAAGGTAGGAGGAGCCGAGGGCGCTGGCCCAGAGGGAGCTGGAGGCCCCGGGCCACTCAAGTGAAACGGGAAGAGTGAGGTCGGGGTCTTCACACCGGGTGGGCGGGGGCTGGCCAGGACACAGTCGGACTGGCCGGAGGCAGAGGTCTCGGTTGGACAGCTCTCCGCGGCAGTTTCATCCTCGTCTTGCCAGGCGGGGACGAAGCTGTCCGGGATCACTTCCTCCACGGTAACAATTCCTCGGAGGCCTCCGTAGTCAGGAAGGTCAGCCTGGGCAGGGGGATCCTCATGCGCCGCGCTGTCTACTACAGTGGTGGTGATAAAGCTGGCAGCGCAGTCAGGAAAGGCAGGGGGCGCCTGGCCTTCACCAGCGCCCCCGCTTCCCCCTTCGCCGTCCTCACCATCGGTCTCGTCATCGTCAGTTTCCTCGTCATCATCATCGCCGCCACCGTCATCAGGGGGCGCGGGGAGTGCCAGGTCGGCATCGGATGTCTGAGCCTTGGTGGGAGCAGGGGGTTCAGGCAGCTGCAGGCGCGCGGGCTGGCGCTGCTTGCGGCTGTGTGAGGCGCCAGGGTGGCCTGGGGGCCGTGCGGCCAAGAGGTGGCGCAGACGGTGGCGCAGCTGCGCAGGTGCGAGTGGTGGGGGCACCGGTGCAGGCAGGGGCACAGGTGTGGGGGTGCCTGGACCCGGGGTGCGTGCACGCGCTATGATCTGCGTGCACTCATCGATGACCGTTTGGATGCGTAGCACCGAAGCAGCCGTGAGCACCTGCAACGCTTCACCCTGCGCCACCACCAGAGAACCGCTGTAGAGGAATTCTACGAGCTGGCGCACCGTCTGCGCCGGCACCACAGGCGGCACGCGAATCTCCGAATGACCAAGCAGTAGCTTGTCCTGGAAGAAAGGGGAGCCAGCAGCCAGCACGCAGCGGTGTGCACGCAGCGACGCCTCGCGGATACGCACGGTCACGTCACAGAAGTGCCCTCCGAGCCGCTGCCCGTTGAGAGTCTCCAACAATGAGCGAGAAAAGTTTTGCAAGTGGATATGGTGCACTGCCTCTGCTGCCGCCATCTGCACAAGACAGGGAGATGGGAGGAGAGGTCACCTGGGGCGCACCCAACTTAGCACAAGGCACCACGAAAGGTCTATCCCCAAGTTCTCCAACCTTTACAAAACCTCAGCAAGCTCCCCCACTTCCATAACCCTCATTACATTACATCACACCCCTGAAAACGAATCAGAGATGTCTACCATCTCCCTTCCCCATCCGAGTTCAATTCTTAGGGCCCAAGACTTAGCCTGGACATCCCAGGCCCACGCACCTCCACCTCCAGTATGAGCATGCTTTTCCCACATTCCCTTCTCAGCAACAGCCTTGTGTAGAAGAGGCCGGGGACATCAGCCAGCACTGGTTACCCAGAGCTGACCAGGCCCTAGACCTTGTCCCCACCCAACTGGCTGCGATTCTTCCCACCGGACCTGTTCCCTACCCTCTGAGCAACTAAGGCCTAGTGCAGATTAGGACTGTTGCCTTGGAACAAGGTTAAACAATGAATGAGCTGGTGTCCCCGACATATAGACAGCTGAGGATAGAAAGTTGGGAATTAATGTGGCAAGCACCCGACCTGAGACCAGTCAGGTCCTGGCAGATACCAACCCAGCTGGCAAGAAGGTGTCACTATCAGCCTCTTGTGGTATTAACAGGGCATCATCGGGCACAGGAGGTAGTTGTTTGAGTGGGTATAGGTGGGCTAGGCCAGCATGACTGGGCAATCAGAGCTTTTAGTGACTACCCATTCAACCTTACCAACCGCGGGCACTGGAAAGTAGAGAGGGTATCCCTCAGGGGACACCGCAAACCCCTGTTACAGCGCACACTAGGGAGGTAACAATTCCCTGGTTTCCCATGATGCTCACCCACCTCCCACGCTGCACACACCTACAAGCTTTACTTTCAGTCTGGAGAAGGAGATTCGGGAAGCTGGACAAACCCTGAGATCCACCATTCTGGTTCACCCAGAGGTGCAAAGCTCCTGAGGGGAATTCTTTAACTTTTGTGCCTACAACCTTGGTTGGGGTCTTTTGGGAGTCTCAAACTTAGCTCGTCTGGTTCCTAATGCCCCATCTGGCTTCCGTTTCCCACCCTCTTTCTTGCATCCTTCCATCTGACTCCCTAGACCACTTCGTGCATCTCCCGTGTAAGGGTTACCTCCGGCCTGCACGGTTGCCATGAACTCACTGGACCCCTCCTGCGTCTCCTAACCTCCCAGACAATTCTCCATTTGGCAGCCAGAGGGAGCCCTTCAGACCTAACTCTGCTTGGGACCCTCCTCTGCTCAGAACCCTCCGTGACGACGAATTCCTGGTATTGCTCAAAGGGCACGTGCCATTACTTTAGCCAGAAGCGCCTTTCCCTGTCTTTATTCATCATCCAAAGGGCTTCTGGTACACCCCAGGGGTTAGGGGCTGAAATCTAAGCATCAGCTCACAGGTTATGAACCTCCAACACCCGCCAGCCTGCCCGCCCTGCTCCCCTGCGGCTTTTGATTCCTCTTTCCATACGCACTGCCTTCCTGGATGCCTCGGAACAAAGGCCCCCCCTCTGAGACCCAGCAACCAAGGCCCACCCTCCCGTACTGGAGCCGAATTCCTACGGCCACACCTTTACCCCGGCCAGGCATTATATTCAGAGCACCTTAGTTAGTGCCCTACCCTGCGCCCCGAGTCCCCTCTTGGGTCTGCTTCGGCTGCTGCACCCGAGCAAGCTCCCGCCGTCCCAGATCTCCCGCCTCCGCGCCCTTGCCCGCGCCGTGCCCTAGTCCTACAGCGCCCCCTCGCGACCGTCGCGACTCGTTCTCTGCAGCAATCCGAAACCCCTACAAACTCCCTCTCCTGGCAAACTCCGGCCTCCTTGCGGGCCCACCTGCAGGGGACTGCCCGCCCGCACGACCCACCTCTTGTTCCTCCTCAGGTACCAAGTCGGGCCGTGGCCGTCTCTTGCTCACCACTACCAAGGCCGCACTTCCGGGCCGCGACCCGGGCGGAACCCAACTCCGCTGAGGCCGCGGCGCTGGGGAGCTCTGGTCCAGTGCACGCTTCCGGCGTTTCCATGGCAATCAGCCGCATCGCCCGGCCGCACTTCTGGCCCCCTACCCAGATGGAACCAATGTCTTGGAAGTTGGGGTTTACCAGGCGCCGGGAAGCTCTGGGCCAGAGCACGTTTCCGGTGTCGCCTTGGAGACACGGCGGGGGCGGAACCTTTCTGTGAATCCGAGGACCACGCCCCTTCGTGCGCACCGCAGGGTGAAGATGGCGCAGTAATGGAAGACAAACGCGCAGACTGGATTGAAACCCCACGGCCCTTCTTTGCATGTTTAAACCCTCCTGCAACAACGGAAAGCAGCTTTTTTCACACAACACAGTGGGGAAAGGACTTACGTTTGCCCCTTTGCTCATCCTTCCATAGCCTCAGCAGGGCACAAACAAGAACTGGAGTGCCGAACACATACACACCCCACACCCCACCCCCGCCACTGCCATGGCTCCCGCGCAGACCTGGCCCTAGGTCCAAGCGGGAAGGTGAAGAATCAGACACCACTCCTTCAACGCCTCAGGACCACCAGACTCACCTTCCCTCAGTGAGCAAATTATTGGATATGCGCCTTCTGCACACCACACCCTGGGTCAGAACTGAGAGAAATACAAATACGGACGTGATGAGAAGGAAAGTGTTAAGTGGCCAGATCCCAAAGACCAGAAAGGACAGAATCTATTAGGAGCTGCGTCTAGAGTGCCTGAGGTGGGGCCAGCTGTGCAGGTTATCTACTAAGGACTAGCAGTGAGGCTGAAAAGGGGCTGAGTGTGCTTTGGACTCTCCATTGGGCCTAGAGGGATCTAGGAGGTCCTGGAACTGCAGATTAGAAGATCCCAAGGCCTCAGAGGACGCCATGCTCAACAAGTGTGAAGCATGGAAGCTGAGATGTAAGCCTCAGGGAGAAAGGGAAAAGGCCACGGTGCCTACTCACCCCGCCCCGCTCCCCCCAACACACACAAGGTAGTTTCTAGACTGCCATGCTGCAGGTAAGGTGTTTGAAGGTCAAGGAAAGGAAGGTACAGGCCAGATGGTACACAGTCTTTTAACTACAGCTCTTCTGTGGCCGCATCTTAACACAAACACATCCGATGGCCTCCTTGTCCCTGTTCACAACCTGAGCCCCATCAGTTCCCAACAGACCTGCAAACCCTCTCCTTCCCTTCTTGCTGTCGCTGCTCTGTGAGCCTCCTCAGCCTCATACACCGGATTCTGTGCCCAGAACTGTACCTGCACAGCTCCCTCCCATACAGGTTGAAGGCCACCACACCCTGGAAAGGTCCTCCCTGACCTCAACCTCGTCTCTTAACAGGTCTCAGAGCAGGAAGGTCATCTGTGTCCTTCCCCTCAGCACACAGAAACTAGGAACAGAAATGCCAACAGCCACTTCGCCCTCCTCTTGACCTCCACTGAACCTGACCCCTGTAGGTTGCAGAGACATTACAAGTAAAACCAAAAAGGCCCTCCCCAAGATTCCATGCCCAAATTCCCTGAAACCTGCCTGCCTTATTCATTGTCCACCTTTCACATGCATATGATGTGATGGAAAATACCTTGGCTTGGGTCAGGCCTAATTCAGTCCTCAAAGTGACTGCTTTGCTCATTAACATTTTAAGAGGTCTTTTGCATCGGATTTGTTCAATGCAATTTGCCATTTGATTTCTTGATTGCTGCTTCCATTAAGCATTGATTATGAATCCAAGCAAAATGAAATTATTGACAACTTCGGTATTTTTTCTATGATGTTACCTATTGGCACAATTGTGAAGATTTTCTAGTCTTTGGTCTTCATCAGTAAGTGTTTCAAGTACACTTCACTTTTCTAGCAAGCAAGGCTATGTCATCTGCATAGCTCAGGCTGTTAGTGCTCATCTGCCAACCAGAAAGCCACCAGTAGCTCCGCAGGAGAAAGATGAGGCAGTCAGCTTCCTTAAAGATTGCTGACTCATAATGAGCCTGTATAGGGTTTCCAAGGAGCGGCTAGTGGATTTAAACTCTTACGGAGACACTGTAGGATAAACACTGGACTGTGAACCACAAGGTTGACAGTTCAAACCCACCAGCTGCTCCTCAGAAACCCTCTACAGGTTTTCTTGGGGTCGGAATCAACTTGAGGGCCCTTAACAACAGCAACAAGTTTTACCGCCTGAGCAACCCTATGGGGTAGTTCTACTACTTTGTCCTATAAGGTTGCTATGAGTGAAAATCTACTCAAAAGCAGTGGGTTTCTCTTTCTCTTTCTTTCTGCAGGAAGAAGAAACCCCAAGCCTGGACCCTTGGGCAGAAAAGAGAGGTGGCAGCCGGGGTTTCCGTAGTCAAGAACTTGGAGAAAAGGTCTACTTTGCTTTTCTCTGCGAAGACCTTGTCACTGAGATTGTGGGGCGTCTAGATGAATAAATGAATGCAGCTGAAGGGACAGAGCACCTACATTTGAGGGGGTGGGTAGATGAGCCGTGGCCTGCAAAGGATAAAACATCCCAGATGTGGCCGCAGAATCTGGGGAGGATGGTACTAAGGGGGGTGCAGGTACCACTGCGTGTGGGTATGCGAACAGAAGCCTTGAGGCTCCAACGGCCACAGACATGTGCAAAGAGTAGAAGAAGTCCATCACTGGGTTGGGCCAGACACCCCCAGTTGGCCCCCTCTGTCCCATCTTCTCTCAGCTCCATCAGGGTCCCCAACCTTCCTCTCTACTCCATTGTCATCTGTGGCGTCCTATGACAGACACTGCCTAGGGATCAAGCCTAGCGCTTGCATTCTAGTGCCTGTACACTGGGCCCCAATCTGGTACGTTTATGCTGGGTATGGTGTCTGGGGCTGTGCCAAATCCTAAAATCCAGGCACACACCTCAGTCAGCTAGAAGCATCCATGCCCATCACAGGGTGCAGACACTGAGCATGTCAGCTGAGAACGGCTTCTGCGGTGGATACAAGGTGGGAGTGAAGGCAGGAGTACCTACTCTAGTAAAGTAGGGACCTG